GTACAAGTTTAATTATTTCTTTACCTGACTGGTATTGGTACAAGTTTAATGATTTCTTTACCTGATTGGTAATGGTACAAGTTTAATGATTTGTTTACCTGATTGGTAATGGTACGAGTTTAAATATTCCTTTGGCTCATTGGTCATACAATATTTTTATCTACAATGATAGTCTACATCAAAAAACGTGTATTTTGGACCTAACAGCATGAAATTAACCAACAGAAACTTCTGAACTTGCTTTTTTTACTTTTTCAAAAATGTTTTATCCACAAATATATAATGATGATACTGTAAGGAAAGCTTTATGTACTTTTAGATCTAAACATGGTTTTGAATTAAGAGGAAATATTCTAAAAAGTAAAATATTTGAAGGTTACAACATTTCTATCCATAACCACAATACATAAGCTAGTTTTACTGCATCTCAACCAGTACTATTTCTGTTATATCTCAATTGGCATAAACAGCTCTATTGGGCAAAAGACGTCATCGATACTGGTTATAGCAGATAAAATGTGCTTGATATATTACTATATACTCTTAATTATTTTCACTCTGAAGATCTTATATCAAAATGTTTAAAATTTTTTCAAAAGCATTTTAAGACTTCAGGATAGATGAGAAAAAATCCAATTACTTAACCCTTTTGAGACAGGTCACACGAGAAAGGCCATGTCATCTCATTTGTTGATTTGCATTCACAATTTTATTGAACTACTATTTCACAAATTTATGTCCGTAAGTTTGGTATCAAACTGTAGATTATAATTCAAATTTTAGTACTATACATTACTCAGTTTCTTAATTTAAAAGTAAATACTCAAAAACACAGATGAACATCGATTTTTGTATGTCACCTGGTATATTGAATGCAGCACTGGTTCAAATTAGATGTTTGTGAAGTCAAAATACTAAGTCTATAGTTTCGTACAAATTAGAAACTCAAATTACCAGTATTGACAAGTTAGAATATAAAATAAGAAAGTAATTCTTTTCTAGTTGCTAAGATATTGTTCCTGTAATAAATCAAATGCAATGGCACCCCACCCACCTCTTTCTATTTTTGGAAACAGTCCCCTATATACACTTACTTCTGAAGCAACTGGAAATTTTTGAGGAAATTTCATCAATTGCTTCAATAGTTAGGAATAATTAAAAGTACTTGGATATACTTAAAATAAAAGCTTTAAGAGTTTCAAAATGAATAAACAAGTTGAGGAAGATATAAAAAAAAGAAAAGGGGACAAGGAGACGCCTGTGTTGAGAAATAAGCCTTGAGAAATGAGTAAACAAGAACGAGGTTAGACCTTCAGCAGGAAATAGCACAGCACGTGCACAAGCTTGAGAGGCGAGCCTGGGAGATTAGTGACCCAGGGTCAATAGCAGAGTTAGTCAACAGCCTAGTTAGTCACAGCTATTGCATCATAACCGGGAAATGAACGCCAATGTATGTGACCATTTAAGGGAATGTTGGCCTCATTTCCTTAGCACTGTAGAAGCTACAGAAAAATTTATATTCTTTGAATCATCTCAGTGCTTTGATGTAGTATTAGTTACAGTACATGGGTGTAGCAGCACAAGTAAATAGGCGACCGGCTAACACCAATTAACTGTGACCAATAACTTGAGGGTTTTGGTTTAGTTCCTGGATTAGTCTGGGAATTGCCCTGAAGCATCCAATAGGAGCACAGCACTACTTGTGGGTGATGCTGTGTCCTATTTGGATGCTCGCCATGATACAGAGAAATTTTGCTTTAAAAACCCATGTCAGGAGCTGCAAAATCAGCTCTCCAGCCATTAAGAAACTCTCCACTAGTTTCCTGGCAGTTTTTAGGACAAAACCATGCAATTGAGATCCTCTAATGTAGCTACTGCTTCAAAGGTTCCAACTCTACAGTAAGTATCTCTCTCTCTTGATCAGTCATTACAAGAAGTATTAGTTTTGCTATTAATGTTTTGATGATTTGTATGTTGATTTTAATAACAAATAATTGCTGTTAGAAGTTAATAAAAATTACTTTGAGTATTTACTGTTGGTCTGAGACTCATATTCTTTAGTCTAACTGTAAACTCCTTGAGTTAGCGACTTGTGACTCCACTCGTCACGACAGAATCCTCCAACAAATAAATTTGGTGTAAAGGTTGGTTTTAATTGAAACTCCAACAATTAAGCTCAACTGAGCGCTAACTCTTTACACTTCTATATACGACATGAATAACAAATCAAAAGCTCAGAATATCCCCCTAGTGGCTTTCTCATCTATTTTAACAGCCTTGGTGCCATTTATTTCTTTTGAACCAATATTTCAACGAGGTAGTATGTGTCTTTAGTTTGCTCGGAATTTCATATTTTTTTAGACTAAAATACAGCTTAGTTACGAAGCTTGATAAATTATAGTGGAATTTTATGGTATTGATGTAATATTTATGATATTTTAGTTATTCAACTGTATATATGTAAAACCTAAAAAAAATATTTTGCTTCATATCCTC